GTAGGGGGGTAGGGTAAAGGGTAAAGGAAGGGGGGAAGGGAAAAGGGAAAAGGAAGAGGGGGGCACAAGAAATAGGGGATTGACAAGGGAAGGGGGATGGAAAAGGGAAGGGGGAGGGAAAAGGGAAGGGAAAGGGAAGAGGGAGGGGAGGGACAGGGAAGGGGGAGGACAAAGGAAGGGGGAGGACAAAGGAAGGGGGAGGGAAAAGGAAAGGGGAGGGAATAGGAAGGAGGAGGGAATAGGAAGGGGGGAGGGAAAAGGGAGGGGGCTCGTCGTCGTCCGTTGACGTGTCGCCGTCGTCCTCGTCGTCGTCCATTGACGTGCGGCCGTCTCGTCGTCGCTGACGTGTCGTCCGTCGACGTGACGTGTCGTCGTCCTCGTCCGTCGTCGTCGTCGTCATCGTCGTCGTCGTCCGTTGATGTGTCGTCGTCGTCGTCGCTGACGTGTCGTCCTCGTCGTCGCTGACGTGTCGTGCGTGGTCGTCGTGTGTTGACGTGACGCGTCGTCGTCGTGCGTTGACGTGTCGTCCGTCATCATCGTGCGTTGACGTGTTGTCGTCCTCGTCGTGCGTTGACATGTCGTCGTCCGTCGTCGTGTGGCCGGCCTCGTCGTCGCTGACGTGTCGTCGTCCGTCGTCGTCGTCGTCCATCGTCGTCGTCGTCGTCGTTGTCCACTGGCGTGGGCGTGATTCGAGGTGACCGCGCTGGTCGCGGCGACGGTGGTGGTGGTTGTGGTTATGGTTGTGGTTGTGGTTGACAGCAAAACAGAGATGCTGATGGTGACATCGGCAAACGCCGTGACTTGTTTAGGAAGGTGGGCGTGAGGGTGGGTTATATAGAATAAATGTTTGTAGAATTCTAACTACCGTATGGTGTGGTGGAAATATTGCTGCTTGGACTTCACGTGACATTTCCTGAGCCTAGAGTTCAATCCTTATGCATCCACTTATTTTTTTATATATTATAATAACAACAACAAATATTGGAATTCATTGGAATCTCTCGGAATCTGTTGGAATTTGACTGGAATATACTTTCCATTGGAATTCCATGGAATCTGGTTGGAATTCCAATGGATTCCAATGGAAACTGTTCCGGGAGGCTCCTGGATTCCGACCATTTCCACCGGATTCCGTCGGATTCCATTGTAATTTCTGTGGAATTGGAAACCAGAATGGCTGAGGCTCCAGCCAACTAGTTTCCGTCGGAATTCCATGGAATTCCGACATTCCACTTGGAATCCGCCGGAACTCATGGGGGATGGTAAAGACCTCATAATATTGGCTAAAATAGTAGGCTTTCAAGAATATTATTATAAAATTGTCAATTCTTCACCGAATTTAGCGTTCTTGGGCTTGTTTTAAAGCTACGACGCATGGCAATAATATTTACTGCAAGGAATATGAGAAATATACGCCATTTTAATCGATTTTCTATTTTTCCGGTCCTAACCGGTTAGTAACTGCAACTAACCGGTTTTCGTCGGTTATCTTCGGTCCAGTTAGGTTATTTTGGGTCTGGGAACGAACCCTAACCAGTCTCGGTCTCGGTTAGAGCCCCTGGGCACCCAATAACCTAACCTAACCGGACTTTCAAACACTACTCCCATCTACTCACCAGCCGCCATAGATGTAACAAAACCCGAACGAACAGCAGACAAGTAGGAATTAAAGGTTTTGGGTTGAAGCGCGCGAGCTCTGTAACTTTCAACCCACTCGACAATGACCCGATGAGTTGCTGACAGGTATTTTCCGGGCTCGTCAAGCAATCCAGGATGAATGCGAGCTAAATTAATGAAGGGACGAGCGCTGACCTGTGGAATCGCTATTCCCCGCCTTGCTCGCTGGAGCATCAAGGGCAGGTGTGGGTGCGTTCCTAATCCAAGTTTTTATCTGAAACAGAACGATTGAGGCTAATTGTTGTGATAGAGTGTCCATGCGTCTCACTATCATCCCCACCTGGTGGTTGGCACTGCTGACGGATCCTGTTCTACGATGAACACGCCGAAATCAACACCGTAGCGTCGTAGGGGTGACTCTGTGGTATGTTTTGTTGTTGCATCTATTCATCGAGGCTAGTTGAATTGGTGTCCTCCAACAGCCCTTCTTCGTGCATAAACTCTATCAAATGGACTACAGTCATAACACAAACGAGTTTCGCATGCCAGATAGATTCCTTCCCAAGTAAGCAGCATACAACCAAGATGACCCCTCCAATCTGTATCTCTAACTATAGCCACAGGAAACCTTCGAAAGGCCAACAGTCACCCGAGCAGCGAACAACAAATCAAAAGCTGGTACCTCCAATGTCAAATTTAATCCTTCTGGTACGGGCGCATGGCTGCGAGAGGTTGGAGTACATCGCGTATCAGAAACGGGCTTGCAGCATCTGGGCTGTTGGCGTGAAGGGTGTCTCTCGTCTCATCTGCGGGAGGGCGTGGTGTTCTGAAACTATTCCTTGAAAATGTGGGTCACCTCGCTTGTCGCCTCATCGTGTCTCTGACCCTTCATTCCAAGGTTATTCACAACACAGAGCACGCTGAGCGGAAGACAGTCACAGCACGCTTGATATGATTGGGGCATACGCTATAGTGTTGATGTGATTGTTTTACATGTCCCCAAATTGTATTTTTTTGTTTTATTCATTTCCTCTCCGCATCTTCGATTCATCTCGCACGTCGACACTCAGATTTTTTGCCAGTGTATCCGGGTATCCGTCACCATCATTGAAGATTATTCATCTATACTGTTCTATTGAGTTGAGTCTCTGCACCCGACATTGAATAGCCTTCGTCCGCCACGACAAACCTTCATTATCACTGACCAATGGCGTAGCGACTGACATTCGTTCTTGTTGTCACATTTGGCTCATGTCCTCTACGATATCCTCATGAGGGGCGAGGTAACAGTGGGCAATTGGATACTTACTCGGCGTCCAACGTCCTGTGACTAAGTACTTGACTAATATCCGCGGCCGGCGACCATCACCAGTCCCCGAGAACTCAATTTGAGCATATGCCAGGGGTTTCTCAAACCACCCTTGGAAACCCTGGGTTTCTACCAGAAAGGGGGGTTTCTGAATAGTTTTACCTGGCATGGAACATTCTTTTATGCCTGCCCTAAATGTTCCATGCCTGCCCTCAATGTTCTATGCCTGCCCTAAAGTGCCTATGATATATAGCACTGGAACATATTTCGTGTCTCCTTTCCTTCTTTCTCCACTCCCCCACCCCTTCTCCTCCTCTGCCGTTTATCTGCTGTAGTTACGTCTGCCGTAGTTACGCCCCCTCCATAGTTAACCCCCTCCCCCTTGTATTACCCCCTAAATAGCGTTAGAATAGTTGAATGAACCGTGAAAAAAAGTACAAACCATGATTAAAATATTCATGAAATGTCGATAGTGTGTGTGGATACACAATGGATAGATAATATGCCCAGATACACAACGAGCTTAGGCACCCAGATAAGGGATGGATGATGTGCCTGGATGCACGATGGATAATGCACCTGGACGCGCGATGGGTGACATGCCCAGACAGGCCCAGACATGTGATTGATAATGTGCCTGGAGGCACGATGCCTGGAGGATAATGCACATTTATCCATGTGGACACAGTGGTAACTTTCTTCATTTCATAATATTTCACAGATTTGAAGACTGACTACCTATCTACAGACAAAGGAATCAAGGATGACAATTTCCTTGGACATTCGTGGACCCCAAAGCCTTGGTATGGCATTGGAATACTCTATGATTGCTATCGGTCTATCGATCACGCCGACGAAGCCTTCTCTCATGTTCTTCATATAGGTAAAGGTCGGCCTTACTCCATCGCTATTAACCTCATGTTCATCTCGCTTTCCCAGCAGATTCCTTGTATCACGTTCGGCATTTTAGGCTGTAAAGCCTCAAGTTAGGTATCTGTAACATGTTAGTAGACAAGACATTCATTGGACACTGATTGAAACAACTGTTACATTAATTCCAATAGAAACACACACTGTAAAGCCTCAAGTTAGGTATCCGTGACGCGTTATTAGATGAGACATTCACCAATTGAATTAACTGTTACATGAATTCCCATAAAAACATGCGCTAATGGCATGTGAGGTATGGTTCTGTATAAAATACTAAACAACAGCTCTATCGCTGTAAATCACCCAGCTTCCTTAATGGCCTGAGGTAGAGGCAGAAAACCGACACAGCAGCCAGCACCTCCTCGTACAGGTGGCTGTAGAGCAGCACCAGTCAACTTTCGTGAAGATCCCGGTTCTGGAGAAGAGTTTGACTTCACCGGCGTGGACGAACATTCTCCTGATGGAGATGTACCAGATGCACCACAACCAGTCTCTCCTCCCATTAGTGTTGAGCCTGTAGCTGGCTCTGCTACCTCCACTCGACCTGCAACGCCTTCGGAGCAACCCTCAGAATCTTCACGGAGCCGAACGGCCCCTGATATTGATTATTTCTATGAACGCGGATCGAAGGTTGCCCCAGTGACCAGAACTCTATACAAGACATGCAAGTATGTGGCCCTCCATAATTACATATGTTGTACTGACAAGGATTGTTGTTTAGGGCGAATGGGATAGACTTACGCCAGGGTGCAGGTAGTTTCTCAGCGTCCACCTCAAATAACCCATTACGCAACCACCTCCTAAGCCGCCACAAGGATATTTATCTCCAGAAGTGTTGTGAAATGCGATGGAAAGTCCCTGCACTCGAGAGCGAAACTGGAACACCCCCTGCATCCGGACGTGGAACGCAACGTTCTCCCTTTTCCCAGAACACATTTTTACAGCATCTTCTGAACTTCATCATTGCGGATGATCAGGTTAGTAAAGCACACTTTTAATGTTTGGTATTAGTCTAAACTTCTTCATAGTCTATATATGTTGTTGAATGCCCAGAATTTCGACAGCTCCTCTTGCTTTTACGTGAGGACCTCGAGGACAAAGACATTCCCTGCTGAACAAAGATGCGCAAACTTATTATCAAGGCATGGGAGGCGTATTTCAAGGTCCTAAAACAGGAATTAGCAGTATGTTGTTTTGGTTGACTGCTTTGTTTCCTTGTATTCACCAATCACTCTAGGATGCACCAGGGTGAATTTCCTACACGGCAGATATCTGGTCAACAAAAGCTCGGTACCCATACCTGGCCATTACCACACATTGGATACATAGAGACAAGTCTACCAAAGGTCTTCAGCTGCATTCTACACTCATCGCATTTCACCATCTTTGAGGAAGCCACAATGGGAACAGGCTAGCAAGGATTGTCCTCCATCTCTTGGATCAAGTTGGGATCACAGTCAAGGCATGTCTACGTTTCATTTTCTTACCCTTTTCTACTTTATGCTTACGTGGACAGGGAGGCCATTGGACCCTCGATAACTGCTTGCTCAACAATGCCTTCCTGAAAGAACTTGAGATACTTCTACGCCCTCACGATGTTGAGTTCAATCACAAGGAAAATCATATACAATGTTTCCCACACGTTACCAACATATGTTCAACTCATGTCATCGAAGCCTTTACTAACATCGCCCTGGTAGATGATACAGGGGGATTCATCACATCTGCATCAGGCCCTCCAAGCGATCCTGATAATCAGACTTATGAAGAAGCAGTTGTTCGCGACCCAATCACATTGTGCCGGAGTACCGTACGAGCAGTACGCGCCTCAGGTCAACGACGTGAGCACCTGGTGGAAGTCATAGACAATGGAAACAAGAAAGGGTGGTTCAAGTCAACTGAGGATCTGACCATGACTATCCAAGTTAAGCAGGTGCAACTTGTACGTGACATGAAGGTTCGGTGGGACTCTCTTTATTTCATGATCAATCGGTTTTGTAAACTATGCCCGGTATGTTTGAACTCCATCATTTTATAAGTGTATACTTATAAAAATAGGCCGTTGAGCATTTTCTTTCTTTGCCCATCAATAGAGATCTTGTGAAACTTAGACTTACTGATATGGAATGGGCTGTACTCCAGGATTTTGAGATTGTACTGGGTGTATGTCTCTAATATTGATACCTGTTCGAGGCTAAGTCTTTCTCTTAGGTACCCCATCAAGTACAGACACTCATGTCGAAAGAGCGCACTCCTGTTTTATCAGGTGCAATTCCCGCCTTCGAAATGTTCATGATGGCATGGGAGCAACTTGGGAGAGATCACCCCCGCTTGGCCCGATGGACGGATATCAGTATCCAGTGGGCGACAACTTACTACAAGAAAATGGATGATTCGCCTGCCTACATTATCGCGATGTGTGAGTTAAGGTTCAGATTCATACATTATTTAATAACTTGACATGGCCAGTTCTCAATCCCTTGATACAATTGTCATGGATTCGACAACACTGGGAGCCTAATTATGTTGCCAGGGCCATCGTAATTATCAAGAATACTGTAAGTCGCTCAGTTTGTTATGGTGACAGTACCCTTAATATACTTGTTGCAGATGCGAAAATACCATGACCGTCTTCATGGACAAGCTCAACAACCTACATCTAGTACGGACTCACAGCAACAGAGGTGAAGCTGGCATGATTTAGCTGGATGATATGGGCTCGAAGATATGTTGGAGGTTTTGGGCGCTCCTTCGCCGTCGGGCCAAGGAGTTGAAGAACAGTTTGAGTTGTATGGAAATGGGACGGTCTCACTGCGTGGCACAGATATTATAGGGTTTTGGGCAGTAAGTACAATGTCTCACTATTTTCCAATCTGCGTCACTTATTTGTTTGCAGATAAGCGAGGAAACCCATCAAATATTGTACACGATGGCATTAGATTACTTACCCATTCAAGCATCCTCGGTTCCTTCCGAGTGCGTTTTTTCATCCAGTGCCGAAACTGATACGAAGAGGTGAAATCGAATTCACCCTGTTCTAATGGAGGCACTTCAAATGTTGAAATTTTCACTCAAGCAGCAATGGCTTAACTTTATGGAGGGTTGGGCTGTTACAGAACATGAACTCGAGTACCATGCAGATGACAACGAAAATTTAGCAGATTTGTTAGGGAAGCTAACTTTGGAGATTAGGGAGGATGGTATAGATATTGATGAGGTAATTCATGTTGTTGGACAGGATGACGATGATTGAGAGGGCTATTTTTTGTTCACTGTAATGTATGCAACCTTACATACCATCACGCTGTACATTTATGTTGAATTTTATTACACATTTATGCTCACTGTACTTAATGCGTGAGTCATCAATTGCGGCAACATTTACCAGCTATAACCAGCTCAAAACCATTGGCTAAGCTGAGCCGAACCGGATTTGATTGGCTCCCGAGCAATCACAAACCAGAACCGGCAAAAGCCGCCGTTTCAGCAAGCTGGCTTGCGGCTAGCCGAGCCGCGGCAACACTATGCACACTTCCTATTATGGAAATATATCCAGAGAATTAGACAAAAAGAGGGAAAAAAAGAAATACATGGACTATATATATTTCCTAATATGGTAATTATGACAATATTGGGGTACTATATACATGGTCTATACACATTTCCTAATATGGTAATTAACACAAATATAGCCAGAAAAATAACAAAAAAATTCACATGATGTGAATGGTTGTTGATAATGTTGATGTACTGTTTACTTGGTCTGTGCATATTTCCAAATATGGTAATTAATGCAAATATGGCCATAAAATCAGAAGAAAAAGAGAAAAATAACAGACTATTGTGAACAATATTGAGGTACCATGAACATGGTCTGTGCACATTTCCTAATATAGCAATGGATACAAATATAGCTAGAAAAAAGAAAAGAAAAAAGAAAAAAGAATGGACATACCATTAACTGTTATTGACAATGTTGCTTTATGGTGCACATGGTCTGTGCATATTTCCAAATAAGGTAATTTGTGCAAATATAGCCAGAAAATCACAATAAAATACAAGAAACATTGAAGAAAATAGTAGATGGTAATCACTGGTGGTCATAATATTGCAGGGCTGATTTCAGAGTCAATTTTGCATTTCCAAATGAGGAAATATTACTATTTTAAATGAAAATCATTTATAAAATGTGAATCTGAATACATCACATCATGTTATACACATTTACATGAAACTTCAGACTCTAACAATCCTCAGAGCTCTCTCCAGTCCTCAGCAATATACCTCTATGAGAGTGAAAAAATATAGCTAGCATGGTAAATCTGACAATCCCTAGAACTCTCTCTAGTCTTCAGGAACATACCTCTACTACAGTGAAGAATATGGCTCACACATCAGCCAATATTTACTTCTGATAATTTTCAGAAATAATAGACATCAGTAATGATTCAGTAAGTAAAGCAGGTCTATTATAATCAATATAAATTCAACCAGAGAGCAGTCAGTAACAAGTTTTATTATCTGATGAAGCAGAATTTAGAGGCTTTAACTATATAACAAATAGCTAAATTACCAATAGATACAGTTTCATGCAAT